AACTATCATCTTTCAATGAAAAAAAAATAGCAGTGACTATAAAACCATTTTAAGCGACTATACTCATTCAATATCACAGACACTCTTTCCTATGGGTAACTTCGTCCCTTAAAATAATAATGCCCTAATTAACCAAAATCAGATTGTTTAGCCATAATTTGAAGAACGTGAAGGTGAAGTAACATATGTCTTCCGATCTGCTCAATCACCAAATTTAAATACCATTGGACCATTTTGTTTGTGCTGGAAAATATAATGGAATCTTGTCTTCCTCTTGCAGCATCTCTCAAGCAACTGAAATAGTTTCTGATAAAAGAATGGTATAAAATACTTATTATCACCTTTCAGAACTTGTATGTCTTCATTCCAAGTTCATTAAAAGTTTTGGATTGCCAAAGTTGTTGCTGCACCTTACTTGGTACACTTTATTTTTTTCACGTGTTTCCTTTATTTTGAATCATTTCTGCATATCTCAGCCTAAAACCTAAGCAAAATGTAAAATCCGACAACAAAGAAAGAAAATGCCAGTTTAGAAAGTTATAACTGCAGGGGCTGCAGAAGCAAACGAAGTTTTGAATATTCGCAAGGAGCCAGAAAGCATATCCTGCATGAAAGTTTTCTTTCTTTTTTTTTTTTTTTTTTTTTTTTAGTTATTGGTATGAGCAACAGAGGTCGAGATCGCGAAAAGGACTTCATTCTCTTGCAAGAAAGTAATTTTCTTATCATATTGGAAATTATGATTAAACAGGAATCGCGGCTAAGGAGAATGGAAATGCTACAAGTTCTTGGTGACTTTTATGCAAAATGAGTTTTAAAAATAACATGGGTGTTTACCTCCCTTATTTCACGAATATTTTACATAGAATTTAATTAATCTAGAGAAGTTTGACATTTAGGATCAATGCAGACGAATGAAACTACAGATATATTTATAATTACTGGCGTGAATATAACAAGTTGATGACATTTTTTAATCTTCACGGTAAAGCAGGGTCCACGGAATTAAGCACTTTCTTGCCGATGATCCATCTAAACTGAGGTGAGTTGCAAGGAATTGGCCAGTAATACAAAAATTACTAATATGATGCCTGGAAACCTGAAACACTGGACGTTTTCCTTCTGAAAGATACCATTGTCCAATATAGATATTCCATAAAGTTAAGAAGTACAACTATTAAATACTGGACACAGCTTTGCTCATATTTTTCACGTCATGAGAATAATGTTGTTGTGGAAGTTAGGCAAGCTTGTTGTATCTAAACAAAAATATATGTAAGTCTATAATAAATCAGACTGGATCAAATGTAAAGTAATAAACAGAGGAGAGTTATTCCACACAACGTTTATTGACGAACACCAAAGACGAACTGATACATATACATAATTATGACATCACAATTTCTTTTTACAAACAAACACTACCGCCATCTACTGGCAATCTAAGGATACATAATCCTAAACTTAACAGTATCAAAACTCATTTTTTACATAATAATGAAATATTCATTGGTATGTGGATTACAAATAAAATCTCTTCTGCATTTCATTTAGATTAATCTCATTCAGTAAAATCAAAAGATAACGCGAAATAATAAGGCGATACAAGAAAAAGGTAATTAAGTACATTTCGGCATAATCAAAGATAATCAAGTAATTGTAGTAAGCAGAGCCAGAAAACACGAGGTAAATACAAGAAATTAGGAAATAAAGGGTGTTTAATGCTAAAGATAAGTTAATAATTAATTGGTAATGAATTAAGCAGTGATTCACAAGCCGGAAGTGTAAACCAAAAATCGTTTAAAAGAATTTTTGGAACATTTAGATTTTAACAATTCTGAACATTTTAACAACTCTGAACAAAGTTTCCTAAGCAATGCTGTTTCAGAATATATTGAAATTAAAGTTAATGAAAGATGATTACAGCTGCCAATAAATTAAGCTACGTCTGAAGCAAACTTTTATTATTTATCACGATAGATTTATATTTTTTTAATACTGGAATTCTGTAGTTTCAAAAAATGTAATATAGTGTCTCATTTTTAAGGTACCTCATGCTTAAGGAATGATCCTCCAAGCATAAAACATAGATTTTTTTGCCATTCTCTGCTATTATATGTATCTTCTGAATTATCTGCACTAAGCCAATTGATGCACATATCCATGGCTATTAAATGGCACATATTACATTTGAATAGCCCTTCACGTATCCGAAATATTTGAAAATCTTCTCATTTCAGGTTGATTTAATCGTATGAATAAAATATTTCAATAATATGTAATTTTGTAAATAATCTATAAAAAACGCTGTATTATGTATCAATAACAAGGCTAAGAATTAAAGAATAGGACCTTTTGACCAATATCTATTTATGAAAGGAAAAAAAAAAAAAAAAAACCCCACAATCAATCAGTCTCCTTTCCAGAAACGTGATTAACATACTTCTTTCTGTCTAGAAAATAACTCTAAACACTGATAAGTTTACTGCAGTGATATAACAGCGATAAAATTCAGGATTTTTACCGCAGAGTTGAGTTTATTTTGAGGAGAATTCATGCTTGAAATCCATTTTGAGAGTTTTAGACTCTACTGAAGTTTACTGAACTCGGAGAGTAGGATTTTTTTAATAAGCTTTTATTTAGCTCACTCATGATGTCTGTCGCTGTAGTTAAACTTTTTTCTTTGTCGATTTTTCAACTATTTAATGATAAGATATCTGGCTCAAATACACACTTTTTGTAAATGGCAATACAATATGGTGAAGCGAGTTTTTTTTTTTCAAATTTGATTTAAATTTTTAAAAAATTAATATTGAAATAATTTATACTCATAACTTAGTTTAACTAAAAAAACCTCAGAATTTTACTCTTTCCACTATCGATAGAGCGGAAAAAAATCTTTTTAATGAAATTTGTAGGAAAATTTTAGCGTAATTTCTGATTTTTTTGGCAAATTTTCAAATATTTCTTGATTTTTTTAACTATTTGACGTCTGTGAATTTCAACATGCAACAATGAGCCAGTCTCTTTCACATATTACAAAACTATTATTCCACCCTTTTTTTCTCAAATCAAGAATAGTAAAAAGATATTAACTGGACGATTTTCTACATTTTTTTAAAAAAAAGTGCGTTGCGCAATGAAGCTGAGGGAGAATAATATTGTTTTTTTCCTTTGGCCATCACTACGAAACTTAGTTTAAGATTATGATGTCATTATATCACTTCTCTTACTGGAAATAATTATTTGCAAAAGCATTAAACTTATTGCAGAAGTCTTCTGCCCTTTTATAAATGCTATTTTTCTCCCCCCTTTTTCTACAGACAGACTTTGTATTCATAGTTCATTTTATTAATCTCAATTAAAACAACAGAGTTTGAGAATTGATTAAAAATTTAAATTATTTTCAATTAAATCCCCGCATCATTTTTATTTTTTCCATTTCATATATTAATAGACCTTTTTCTCAGTATTTCGTTACAAAAGTTGATTGTCTTAATTTTACTATGGTACGTAATGTTTTACTCTTTTATGCGAATAAAATTTTAACGTCTAAAAATTTATCTCCTATAAAAACTTGAAATTTTCAAAAGCTACAAAGTAAATCTGTCTTCATTTTAAACAAGAATGACGGAAAAGCATTAATTAGACGACTTTCTAGAATTTTCTTTTTATACTAGCTGCGTTTTATCAGATTAACTCACTCATGGTGATTGTCACGAGGATCGAAATCCTGACGCTGAATTTTAAGCTATTTCCTGAGAAGCTATGGAGCTCAAATTCTGCACACGCAAGACATTGCGGATAAAAATACAATGAAGTGGAATGCCATTCAGACGGGAAAAAGGTTATTGACTCTGACTGCCATACCGAAGGGCCCGGGCTCGAATCCCAGAGAATGCATTGGTGAAAATTTTCTGCCCTTTCATGAAGGGCAACGGTGGCCCATCCATTAGGTGCCTCTATAATAAAGTGGCCTAGAAGCGTTGGCCACAACTAAGGCCGGGCCAACGCTTCTAACAGCTAATGCCTGCCATTTGATCTAGATTTTAGAAATTTAATGTTGAAAAGATTTTTCACACATATCTTCGTTTAATGACCAAACTAAAACGCTCAGAACTTATTGTTTGTACCATTGGATAAAGCAGAAAAAACTTTTTAAATGAAGTTTATATGAGATTTTTAACGTAATTTCTGACTTTTTGGGAAAGTAACTGTATTGTTTCCATTTAAGGTAACAGAAATCTTGGAAGTAAAAGAGTTATTATTCATTGTTGCAAAACGATTTTTCAATTGAATAATTTCATCGATAATATGTTACTGAGACTAAACAGATAAAAAAATATGTCTTAAGTAAAAAGTTTTTACAAAGTACACTTTTATTTAAACTCACAAAAAACTGATGAAGTAAATAACTAAACTAATAAAATAACTAAAAGGAGGAAAATAATTGATCATATATTTTCATGGAAACAAGAAATTGAATAATTTTCTTTTAAAAGTCCATCTACAATTATACCATGAATAATAAAAGCTGTATTACGTATTGGAAATGCAACTCTTTGGTTTTTATAGAGCATAAAATTATTTTAGTTTCACAGTTAAATTAGACATTTTGCTTTTTGTTTAATACATATTTGACAGTCTTGATTAGGTTAGGGAACGGCCATTTCAGTTAATAATATCAAAATCATCAATGCCAATATTTACTGATGCCGTCGAAAGTGCTGGTTCTCTTAGGATGGTGATTACCATGAGATTGTCACGAGACAATTTACTGCATTGATTTGGCTTTCATTTACGTCCCTTCATGTGATGATTTTACTTGCTAAAGAAGAATAACTTTCATTGCTTGATTTCCTAGAAATCAATGGAGCTTTCTAATAACTAATGGCAATCTAAGATTAATTTTTTCCTGATTTTATTAATGACTGCCGGTGTTTAATACCAACATACTTTTAGATACCCCTTTAAAAATGTGTTTTACTTCATTAAATAAAAAAAATGAAATCTTTTCCTTTTCAGAAAGTGTTCTTTTTACGGAAGGGGAAATCGTTCTCAATTTTCGGTCGGATGCCACCACTCAAAGGCCTGGATTTTCTATACAAGTTCGCCAGCTAATGGATTGCGGAACTAGCAGTTCTGGTAGGTAATTCTGACATTTATTGTACTGTAACCACGGAGTTCTTTCTTACCTCCATGACTGTAAAGTTTCATTTTTAAACTTTTGTAACGTAGTGCGTTTTCATTCTTCATTTACTGACTTTAACAGTCAGTAAGTTTAAGGCGGGATTTAGAGAGATGGGGAGGGATCTGTGTTGCTGCTTTCGATTGATATTTTAGGCTAACTACACATGCAAAAGATAATCCATCTGTAATTACTAATTCAGCAGTTCTTGTCACGGCTAATGCTAACACGGGATAAAGTTGAAACATGTCATGAAATTGTTTAAAATTAATCCAAAAAAGCAACCTTAGTTTGACATAGATTTTGAATAATATCGATTTCAAGAGGGATCCCACTTCTTCAAAAGAAAAAAACGTTCTGTAAAATATTTTGTGTCTGATTGCCGTCGAAACTGATAAAATTCAAGTCAAAAATCTACATCAAGCTAAGATAACGTTTCTTGACTAACTTTACACCGGTGTGTTTTTCTTCTGTTGGATCATGAAGCCATTTGAAGATGTCCGTGCTTAAATTCATGAAATACTGAATTCAGTAATTAAAAAACTGAAGAAATGCTTTAGCTATTCACCCTTTTCTATGCTACCATATTATTATCAGTTTGATACTTTTCAAAAGGTGTGAAAGCTGTCAATGTTATTCAGCTTCTGAGGAATATTAGGTTATCTTTAACTGATGCAAGAAATATGTTTCTTATCACATATAATGCTTATATGAAAAAATAGCAGTTGGTAAAGATTTAACAGAAAAGTCATAATTTTTAAACTGAAACTACATAATTATGGGCCATTATTTAAATTTTTTGTACAAATGTCTGACTTAGAAAATAATGTGAATAGCGAATTGCCTCAGTGAAGCGATTTTAAGTTAAATGGAGTTAAGGTCTGGAAAGTTACTTAAACACGATGTGAATAATGATAGTAAAGTAATGACGAAAGAACAGGATAAAATGGGTATTAATGGAGCAGAAATTAACTTCTCGAACAACAAAGTTGTATAAGTTAGCCGTTCGGAGTTTGTGGATCAGTAGAATGGGCGTGAGATGCATTGGGACAGCAAGCGATTTAGAAAAAATTCTCTGTGAAATTCATTAACAAAGGAAGAATACGGTTCTGTGTTATTTCAAAAGTAAACACTGTGTTTTTATATGAAATGTTCCATTCTGAAAAGCAAACTTCGAATGATTATCACTTTATATGGAACTTAAAGGGATTCAAATCTAACTGCTGACTACATGTAGACAGTCAGGCATCGCCTCGTATTAGTCTTCCAGATAAAAAGTTCTGAGCTCAGAAGGAGGATTAAAATAAACTTTTTATTAGAACTTAATAAATTACAAATCTCATGTAGTACAAAATAAATCACCGTTGCTTGTAGGACTCAACAAAACTGGAGTCAAAGTAAAACTTAAGCAATTAAAACGTGCAATTCACCACGAAACGTTCTTCTGTACGTTTTGGCTCAGGCCATTTAATCACGTGAGCAAACATGCTAGTGTTAAAGCCGATCCAGGTAAATCTAATAGCTGGATGTAAAGAGGAGAGACGTAAGAGGCAAAGGGGACGTAAAAATAGAAGCTCAGTTGACGTTGCCAAAAGCTCTCTTTAAATTTCAAGAAATTTCTTTTTATGTACTTTAACTAAATTTTCATCCTGGCGGGAGCCGACGAAAATCATGCTGACGGTTGTAAGGTATTTATTTATTTTATCTAACCAGTAATTTTATGTTAAATAGCTTTACTATCGTTCTCCCTTTCCGTTTTCCTGCCAAAATGCTAATTTTAGTTCGAGCCTATTCAAATGAGGTAAAAGATATAACATTTAAAGAAAGACTTTAGATTGCTTAGCAGTGGCGGCTCGTGGCTAAAATTACTGGGGGTGCTGTTCCAAAAAAAATTAAACTTTGTTTTAAAATTGTGTGAAAGTAAACAAACATGCATAAAAAGAAAATTTATTTTGAAACTTCATAAAATCTTACAAGAAAAAAATTAAAAATTTCTTAATTACTTTAACCAAAATTGTTATAGTTCAATCTTTATCTATTCGTTTAAAAATGAAATCTATTCTTCTTGTTTTAATTTGCGTGAAAAAATCAATAATTTTCTTCTTGATCTCTGGATGACAACTGAGGAAATTTTTCGTTATTGAAAGTAATGCAAGTGCATTTAGTCTTTCCGAATTCCTAGTGCTTCTTAGAAAAGTTTTCATTCTTTTCAGTGTTGAAAAAACACCGTTCTGCCTCTGATGTAGTCATGGGAACTTTCAAGAGAATTTTTATCAGTTTCGTAATTTCACTTATTTCAATCTCGCTTATTTTCGAAGATAAATTTCAATAGCTCAATTAATTTGCAGTATTCATGGATATCAGACCTACAATAGAATACTTTTAGTTCAGTTTCAAGCTTTCCTTTGTCAATCATTGGATATGCTTCAGTGGTCAGTACTATTTCTTCTGTAGAATGTTCATTCCTAAAACTAGCGAAACATTTCTTGTTAAACAATTTAGCAGCTGCTAAGTGTTTAGTGGAAGAATATATGCGTATAATATCAATACATAGTATAAAGTCACATATTTCCTTAGCTTCTGCCATCAGTGTCTTTGAAAAATTCTCACAATACTTTGAGTTTCTTAATTCTAAAATAGCAGTTTTGAAATTTGATATATATTCATTAACTTTAAACACACTAATTTCTCTGGATTGCATTTAGTTATATATTATTTCAACATGAGGCATCTGATAAAAAAGCTCTAACCAAAACTTGAAATTATCATCATTTAGATATTTTTAAATTCCTGTTGCTTTTGCAATAGTTTGGTCTGCATTTGATGTTGATTGAATTTTAGTAAGAAAATTTCTTAAAGGTTGCAAATTTTCATGAACTCTGTTTATGGTTCGTATGATGAAGTTCCACCTTGTGGAGGAATACCACACGCGCGGAGTAAAAAGAAATCACGTTTCCAACAACATGCCACAATTTCGTCACTGCAAGAGCGACAGTGCTCTTCTCTCTACCCATCTCGCGTGTTGCTTTCTGTATACGCATGCGCAGAATAGCAAAACACCACGCCGCTGGAACTATGAAGCGCGCAGTTCCAAACAAAGACTTTCGTAATTTCTTCACAAAGGGGGGGATGGCTACTGACATTAAGCTTAAGGACTATGTATTGTAAAAGTATAAAGAAAGAATTAAAGACTAAAGGGCACACTATATTAAATATTAAAAATAATAATAAGTGGAAATAGGGGGTGCTGCAGTTCCACAGTGCTTATTACGAGTCGCCACTGTTGCTTAGGCAGAGCGTGTTCCGCCTGCTGAAGGCCAAGTTACCAATTGAAATTCTACAATAGCAGTCTGATTTCGACATTGCTTTATTCTTGTTAATAGTGCTTGTCTCTCCGGTTATAGGTTTAAGTTACTTGCGCTTTAATCATTTCTGTGTTGCCTTTGGCTAAGTTTACGACTTAGCTTAGATTAATTTGAAATTCTAGCTTTTGAGTTACGCCATAAATGCTGATTGTTCAGTAAGAACGAGAAGTGTCCCCTGTTAACTATTTGAGTTCGTAATAAAAGGTCCATTTACATCCTTCTTACGTTCTCTGTTTTCTTACAGGACATAACGATAATTCGCTTTATTTTTCGAGAGTCTCGACTTGGTGAATGCTTCCTAAGATGGTTAGACTCTATACAGTAAAGATAAAAATAATAAGATAATGCATTAAAAAACATAAAACTGTACAAGTTGTCGTGTTCCCAAAATAAAGACATCATCAACGTACACTATACCCAGCAGCACAAATTGAACTTCAGTTCCGCTCGGTACTGGTTAGCGACACTGACTGCCGCACGGAAGGGTCCAGGTTCGAATCCTGGAGAAGGCATAGATGCTGTAAATGTATAGTGTCTGTGTGGGATAGGGACACTCTAACTATGCGGCGAGCCGAAAGTCCTCTCGAGAGGTTGTGGTAGGAGAAGAGGGGTGGGAGATCCTCGGACTCGTCCCCTTGGGGTGCTCGCCATCAAAATAGGTGGCAGTACGAAGCAAAGTCGTACTATCACCTGTACGGTGCTCAAGGCTCTTGCCCAACGACATGCGCAATCTTGCATTCCTTACGACGATGAATTTCGTGATATTATTCTGATGTTACTGTGAGACAAGTGAGATAAGTCACAAGAACAAACTTCAGTAAAGTCCTAAATTTAGGATATTGCACGGAAATGCCGCAAAGGATAGGGTAAGAGTGGGTTACCTTTAGCAGGGACTTACTTCAGTTTGATAGCAAATCTTTCCACTGAAAACAAAATTCGTTTGATCAATTTTCTTCGCAAAAATCCTTATCCTTCTTAATTAGAGCAGTAGAACTCATGAACCCTTTTGCTCAAATCTTCAAGTCGCACCTTACACAAGAACATTATAACAAAACGATTTCTTGTCGAAAGAGACCTTAATGCTCTGTTAGGAACTTGCGAATGAAGTTAAGTAACAGTACCAGATGAAATTTTCCCTATGGATATTCAGAATAAGAAACACACTGGAAAATCCCTTAATTAGATATTTACGACACGCTAAACGATAAAATACTAGATAAGAAACGCATAGAATCACGCTCAATTAAAATACTGGAATAATTAGGTGTTTCTTTATGCAATTGTTCAAGAACAAAAAAAATGATATGATAACAGATTTTATTTAAGAAAGATTTTGATCTCATTGATTCGCTCTTTAAAATCTTGCTCGCCCTTCATCTAATAATTTAATATCGCCATTTGAATTTTGCTCATTGTTTAGGATGTCATATTGACTACTCTAATCAATCTTAATTACTACTAGATTTTTGTTGGTCAAAATAAATACATTCATTCAATGATAAATTAATCTTGACATCATACTATTATCACTGTTACGTCGTTCAAAAAAATTAGAATCGCTATCTTTACCAAATTGATAATTCTGTGGAATTGATTAATTTTATATTATTGTTATACTAATAGATATATAATTTTGTCAATAAAACAATACTAATTGTTAAAAATAATTGCTAGATGCATTTTCATATGCTTGGAATCAAAGTTCTTTTTCCAGCTGGCAGTTTCGAAATCAAAAGACGGGTCATAGAGTCGAAGAATTATGTTATATAATAATAATCTAACATATGGTAATTTTAAGACTTGAAAACAGCAATTTAAATTTTGCTAATCGGTCAACTCGAATTATTTCCACTTCTTTCTGTTTAGTAGACATTATATGTCATTTAAATACATATTTGTATTCATGTTATTATCTATGCCGTAATATGTGCTTATTTCATTTTATATTTTTTGTGTTTATTTAAATTTTTCGGAGTCTTATGCTAAATGTTTAATTTTGTCCTTTAGTTATGATAACTGCGTTTTCGTTTTATAGCATTTCAGTTACCAAAAGTTTTATAGAAACGCTCCGCTTCGTTTGGGGAAATGAAATATATTCTTACGAAGCTGATGAACTAATAAGGTTTCCATAAGAGATCAATACTAAATAATAATAATAAACTCCTTTGGATTAGAAAACCAGTAATACAACGAAGTAATCCTACTGAAACTTAACATGATTTGGCTTTCGCAATGAAGTTTCTTCAGACTGATGTACAAAATTTAACGCTTTGTAAATGACAGGAAATTAACACATTGCAATATGATATTCATTATTTATTACAGATACAAATATTCTGCTCTTTTTGCATTACTGAACATTCAGTATGAAATTTATTCTCGAAACTGTCACGTATCTTTTTTTTTCAGTTGCTCCACCAACAAAGGAATCATGCGGTGGTATCTTCGACAGCGAAGAGTTCTCACTGAAGAGTCCCAATTTTCCACACGATTATCCACACGAAGCACATTGTGAATACATGGTGAAAAAGTCTTCAGATGCAGTCTGTGGCTTGGAATTGCGCTTCGCTCATTTCGACGTAGAAAAAGGACCTGATTGTACATATGATTACTTGGATATTGGTCACAAAACTATCTGCGGTCATCTGCCTTCTGGATTTACCCGTAAGTTGAATTTTCATTTCTTCTTCCTTTGCTCCATGTGTAATATTTGATATGTGAACCCTAGCAAAGTATTGGAACTTACCTTTAATTGGACAGTTGTTTCGCTGGAAAATTAGAAGATTTCTGCGAGAATGAGTACAATCGAGAGGATTGCTAAGCTACACTTTTGGGGGTTGGTAATGATATCTTTGAATACTTTTACTACTAACTTATAAACAGAATTGAAAGAGATATGCATAATGCTATTGCAAGGCATGGTATGGAACGTTTCTGTTTGGAATATAATTTTTGTCACCGGAGAGTATGCATATATAAAGCATACTGAATTGTTCTTTGAATGCACTGGTCCTTAAATGAAATGACAGTTTATACATAGATGCTAAAACGGCGTAGGAAAGTGTTTAGGAACTTCTCCCTAAGAGTATGGGTTTGAATGCACAAAAAATTATCGTATGTAGTTCAGATTACTGGGCGAGGATAGCAGTAATTTTTGAACTACAGAAAAAGAAATCCTTGCCTGCATAGTTTGTGCAAAAAAGTATTATCTGAAACTACAAAGAGATTCATGGTTGATCATTAATATGAGAGTATACGTAACGGATGAAGATTTATGTGATCGCAGAAGTTTCGTGGACTTACATGTTTATATAGAGTTTTATGTGATCAGAGGAGATATGAGTTGCTTATATACTTATGTTGTAATTCTAATCCTAACTTATTCTTTACGGATATGTCCATCTAACGATCTTAGAGTTACTTTTCTCTTCCAGTTTGAATCTTTTATAATTTAAAATAACGCTGCAATAGTTATGTTTTCCGCAGGATCCTTTTTACTGTTTTGTAGATAACTGGACTTGGTAGCCTTTTATAATGAGCACGAAATCCTAACTCGGTAACAACGAGCTTCATGAGATACTTGAGATATTTGACGGCAAAAATTATTTAAAAATAAATTCTCAATTTTGAATAAATGCAAGCAATGGGTTTTTGGTAAAAGCTAACTTAAATAGTTTTCCCCTATGAAGGCAAATTTCTTATAGAGTGTGTAAGATTTTATATAGCCGTGTAGATAAGCTGAAATAACTTCGTAATAAGTGTAGATACATTAGGTATTTTTTTGGAAGCAGGATAGATGAAAAATTAACAAAGCCTTCGCGCGAATAGAACCGCTATCCTCCGGAATACCGGCCCAGTGTATCGACCACCACACCACGAAGGCACGCCAGGAAGGTGGGAGAAATGCCTTACATAAGATTTATTTTTTTTTTATTATTATTTATTGTTATTTTGAACTGCAGTTCTGTACAATAGTAATTCACTTTACAACAGCCGAATATTATCTGAAATAAAATCAACCCATTTTACTATCTTTCATACGCTAAATGTAAATATGAGATTTAAAATTACTTATATTTTTAACTTTTGAAGATCTACAAGCGTGAATTTAATTCAAAATAAAGAAGGTAATCATGGAAAATAATTTGTCCCTGTTACGAATATTTACTTTATCATCATTTATGTTTTAAAAATATATCGCATAGACTCATAACTTATTTACTTTTTAGCTTAAGAAGAAATATTTTTTGACGCATGTAGAAATATTTACTAGATGCAGAGGTACTCTCTGAAGTAATGTTGTAACCATTTGGCTCCCAGTACTAACCCTAAAACTGAAGTTTAGAGAACTTAATTAATTTAATATTATTGGAAATTTTGGGAGTTTGATTCCCAATTAACTGATTTTCTAATATTCCCATTATATTCTCTCTTGTGTCTGTGGTGGTAAGCACCATAAGTTTGCACATTTATTAGACAAATTTTCTTTGCTATTAAAAAGAAATCGCCCAAGTGGAAAAAAATTTTGACTGCAACTATATTTTCCAAATTATATTATTATTAAAAGAAATCGCCTAAGTGGAAAAAAAATTTTTAACTGCAACTATGTTTTCCAAATTATCGTCTGCTACTTGATAATTTTGTTTTCATGCAAAATGATACTTTAAAAGAAGCAATGGACGGAAGGCTTTGTTTGTGTTCTTTCCACGGAAAATTATTCGTATTTAGTTATTAGAAAATACTGCAAAAGCCATGATGTCTCGGTACCTAAAGCAACGATAGATACTTTTGTCAATAAGAAAGGAAAAAAAAACGTCAAAGTTTGTCTTCAAGAAGAAACGTTGTTCAAACTACATATCCAAGGAAAAACCGGAATGTTTCGAATGTTACAAAGGTTAAAACTTTAATGTTAAAAGAAAAATCTGCCAAGTCAAAGGACAGTTAAATAGTCATGCAAATGCTCTGTTTCAGCTGTAAAAAAGTGATTAATGTTGATTTGAATCTTAAAAACGGCAAAAAAAAGCTTGATGTTCATCGTCTTTCTCCGCGACATATCGCCGAAAGCAGAACGTGCTGCTGAATTCTCTATGAAAAATAATTATTCGGACAAAAAGGGTAAAATGTTGTCACAATAGATGAATCTTGGGTATAGTAAAATAACCAAAGTAAAAAGCGGTCCATTTATTATCATCAGAGAGAAGAAAAAAATCTTAGAACATGGTTCAAAGAATCTAAAAACGTTTTTCAAGGGGATTTATGACTCTTGCTGATTTTTAATATAACGACAAATAAAAATTAAAGAGAGTGCAAAAGACTGTTAAGATCAACTCCGCATATTATTAGGAACATATTTTATTCCCAGTTTTCAAATATGAAATACCTTCTCTTTACCCACTGTGCCATCCATCAGTAGAACTGCATCAAGAGGAAGCAAGCAGCCACACGTCAAAATCCACAGTTAATTTCCTGGGGAAAAATGGAACAAGAAAGGGATATTAAGACTATGCCTTTCATTCATATCCCTACTAAATCTCCTGAAAATCTTTAAAATCTTTTAAAAAGCGAATTGTCCAAACCCCGACCTAGAAAATTGTTCAAGAGAAATAGAATAATATTCCTTTTCTGACGCTATTAAAGGCTTTATTGTCTTGAAAATTACAGTGTAGAAAGATAGAGAAAAATAAGGGTTATTAAATACAGCATTTAAAACACAAAACGTTTTGGTAAAATATTTCTGTAAATACAATGAAAATTGTCTAACAAATGTGGAATCAGCTTCAGTATTTAGCGTAAAGAACATAAAAAATAAGCTAAAATTTGCTGTCCTGAATAATAAATACCGAAAACTAATTTGCGTGTTCTTAAAGCCCTAAAAAGGCATCTAATAGTTCTAAACTTAACAAAATGCTACTAAAGCAGCAATCATTATTCAATCTCGATTGATTTGGTTGTACGTTCTTCGGCGAATCTTTTAAACCTATGTCTAGTAAACCGAAACTGAAAATTTTGGTCTTTTTCATAGGTGTGATTCCTTTCGAAAGTCCTCAGATGAAATTCACCTTCCGCTCAGATAGGGGAACTTCCAAAAGTGGATTCGCCATTAAAGTTCGCCAGAGAGCTGACTGTGGAGTGACCACTTGGAAACCAGGTATGGAGTTACTTAAGAAATCATTTGACGTATCCATATCCAATGTATGTTATGTCTTCCAGTTATTAAAACAAAAAATAGAGTAAAACGTTATCACTTTATTTACATTAATATCAGCGACACCGGACTGACGGTCTTGTAGATTTCCCTCTTTTTATTTTAAAGAACTTTTATCAAGATGTTGTTGAATATCTAATACTATAACAGTAAATAGTGCTGGTATAAAAATGACACAAAGAAAATATTCAGATTTAAAATTTTTGTTTTTTGCTACTCATTTTCTGCTCGAAATCTAAATGTTTGTATTTGCAAAAAATTTTTATTGGTCAAAATTTGTAATTCAAACGTATTGGCAGCTAAATATTAGAATTTTTATATTGACATTTATACAAGTAATTGAAGTATATTGATGACACCACTAAATAACTTACTTTTAACTTTAACTAAGAAGAAATATACGAAAACTTTCCAAGAGGGACAAAACTTAACAATAACTAATAATAGCATATTCTCTTTCTTTTATTTATTAACTTTATCTGTGAAGAATACAGAAAAATTACATATTTGTGTATAAACAAAATTTCTATGTTTCTTACTACACTTTTCAGCTATAACATCTGATGGCGTTTCAATGTTCACAAGGATGTGATCTTGGAGGAAAATTACTAGAAATCTTCATCACAAATTGTAGATACTCATGGGCAGTCTGGTTTTTTTTTATTTACATTTATTAATTTTTAAACCACGGAGAAGAATTGTTCACATGTAAATGTACTCCCAAATAAAGTGATTATTCTTACTTCAAAAATTCGGTAATGACTAATAAAAGTTAATCAAATCTGTATCTTCAAATCTTTGAATAAGATTTATACTGCAGTATAACTTAATTAGCTCCATTTCTATATTCTCCGGAAAATTACTCATATTCGTTTTTGGTAATGAAAATAATGTAACCTGAAACCATTAAAACCATCAACGTTTTCTCTAAATTCTTGTCGTAATAATGCTAATTAATTTACGGGAAATTTATTGGCGGGCCATATAAAATCGCAGCCCGTGGTCCGCCAGTTTGAGACCACTGCGTTAAAGTACAGATAAAATAAATTTTCTGCATGTCAGCGCAAATCTATTTAAATTAATGCAGAGTAGAACTCATCAATGCGCTGAACACGATCGATTATACCACTCACTTCTCTTCGCAGCCTGCTACTGGAATAAACATTCAATGTCAAGGTCGCAGCGGAACTTCGCACAGTGTGCCTATTATAGGATAATGTTTACATTTCTTTGTTTTGCTGAGGTGACAGGTGAGATAAAGCTGTTCTAAAGCATTATACTATAACAAGGGCATCTGAATAAACAGAGGAAATGAATGTCTGAGAAAGCCACTAGCATGAGCTGTGTGCCTTTACTGAAATTGTTTCTATGATATGCCTGATATTTGTATTACGTATTTTGTACACGCTGAGCTAATGACATGCTGCGATTTGTATAATGACTCTTTTTTGTATTTTTGAATTGCCATTTAAACTGCAATAATGATCAAAATGTACGGATGATAAATGATCACAACACACCCATTTAAAAACAATACTGAATCATTAAATTCCTTTCTAAAACTAAAATAATTAGAATTTTAATTTTCAACTTCTAAGCATAGCTTTTTGATTTTTTTAATGTAAAGGCTTATGAATGCTATACAATAAAAATTTTTGATACTCTTGCACAGGAAGAGAGCAGAGAGGTGAAATCTTAGAAGAAAAGAGGTAGAAGCAATGTGAGTAAATATTCCAATATGGGAGCTTATTAAGAGAAAATTTAAGCTTCGAGTTAGCTACGTTATCAGCATTATGCAAGCCACATGATAAGGACTGATCTAGAAATAACTTAGTCCAGAAAATGTTTTTACTATTTTTAAAATACAGAGGGGAAATACACAACTTAAAAATGAAAAATTAAGGGACTATTACTAATTTAAATTATAATTTTGATTTACATATTTTTATCTTATATATATAATTATTGTAATAATTTTGTTGGTACGTCAATGGAATTTAGTAGAGAGTTGGCTACACAAGATGAAACCAATAATTTTTCAGTCATGATCGAGAAAACTCCTGCGTAGATGATGACTGGTGGGAAAATCATAACTGGCTTGATAGTGAAAACATCATTTTTATTTTGAACAGGAACAATTTTTCAGAAATACGTGTTTGCTTAATTGCTGCAACTTTAGGAATGCTAAACACGCCCACAATTTCCATATATGCGGCTTATATTTTAGATGGTAGAAAAAGAAACTTAGTGCAGAAGCATGACTTTCCTAGGAAGAGCAAGCAACTAAAGAGCGACTTAGTAAGTAACTAGCAATTTAAAACCTCTGGACGCTTTTTTTTTAATCCTGAGCAGCGATTGGTCAAAAAACTATAGCGATGCGACTACTGCAGGGAAAACGCAGATGCCTTGAAGAAGGTTGTGCTTTAATTGAAAATCAGAAATTTAAAGGTCTATTGCCAACTTTTTTTCAATGAAGTTTAATGTATTTATAGATTTCCGTTATATTTTTATATTTTGCATATAATATATATATGTGTGTCAGATATAACAAAATATGATAGCTGTTTCAAAAAAAAAATCATTGGCGACCTCAAAATTAACATTCTAAATTTGATGATCTGCCCGTAAATTCATCTCTTCTCACAGGTTCCAGATTTTTCTATCTTACGCAACGTTTTAATGCAGATGCCTCTTCTCCAATCAAAACGCTTTGAGAACCAAAACTAACTCAGTTCGACTTAAGATTTCAGCCTGAACATTGCGCACTTACTTTCCACGCTTTGGCCTAGCTACACTGCTATCTGTCTGCTCTTTCTTTCTTATTGCACATTTATCTAAAATGTAAAATCTCTTGAAATAGGCACAATTAATGTCCAACTTGATTGTCGCCGCAACATGTTTGCTAAAATAAAAAACGAAGATTTAAATCTGCCTTCGCCTTCAATTTCCTATTCATTGTGGATCGTCGTTTCTGCATTCTAAGACATCAAAATTCCTGCTCCTGAATTTATAACTTGATTTCGCACTAAGTGAATTTAAAATTATATATATATATATACACCATGTCCACAAATGTCCTTACTCGGCCTTTATTTTCATAACCGTTGCTCGTAGATACATACTTCCAGATACAAAAATGTTTTAAATGATGCAAAGGTTCATGTTTCGGCATTTTTAATCAGTTTTTGTAAAAATTACAAAATGTAACTTTTTATACATTCCTTTGGTTCTTATATCTAGGAAAATTCTGCATTCGTTATAAAAACTAAAACACAAATTGTTGGACTCCATGCAACAAAAACTGACTGAGATAGTTTATATAAAAATCGTGGATCATATTCAGGGGCCGTGCACAAATTGAAGAGCGAAATAGTCTATAATGAAATGAAATAATGTATTATAATGAAATAATGTATGTAATTAGAAATAAAATATCGTTTAGAAAAAGTGTTAAGAGGTTACGTAATGAGCCTTTTGATGCAGGCTATCGTAAAAATATTGATCAATATCTTCATTAAGGGCAGTTTGCCCAGAAGGGTTATTAATTTCGTTTTTTCATTTTGCGTCGTCCACTATAAAGCGGCGTATCAGTTTTAAAATTGTTACCAAATATTAGAGCCGTGCATTACGTTTAAAGAAATTAAATGAACACTAATGAAGGAATGAATAATGAATGCATGCATATACGTATGTTTCTCGCATTGTGAAAAAACAGCAGTACCTAAAGACATCAAATTTTGAATGTTATTTCTACCATTTATAACTGACTACTTTCTGCAAGCATGACAAAAAAGTGAAAAAAAAATGTTTTATAAAACGGGTATAAGACCTTTTTGCTTAAAGGAAAGCCGATTTATGAACCCTGTTAAATAATGGTTTCACATTTAAAGCAACAAACGAAATTTATTTCATTTATATCCTGAAAATCATTTGCATTTACACTTTTTAAATGCATTTATTGTTTTATTTCGGAAGGATTGCTGTGTTAATAGTGGAAACAGTATTCCAAATCAATATTATGTGCTCAGTTGAAAGATTTTCAAAAATGCTAGCCAAAAGTTTTCTTATGTATCATTTAATTGTTTTTATACCGTTATGAATATTTTATTTTATTTATGTTTTGCTTATATAGTTAATATATAAGTAAAAAGGTACAGTGACTCAAAATATTTACTGTGAAACAGTAACATAAAACTTGTTGTACACTAAATCGTTGCATAAATAAATATTCTTTTAAGGCGCATTTAATAAAAAAAAGTGAAATACCTTATTAAAATTCGCTTCTAATGAATTAATATAAATTTTAAATATTCGAATTATTTAAATAGGGTAGTTCAAAATAACGGAAGTACTATATGGAATATAACGGAAAAGTACTATATGTTTAAATACAACGGATGATACAGATATTATAAGAAACACTGCAGTGCAGCTGATATAACAACGTTACTCACACTCGTGATATGTGTATTAATATTTCTTGGGGTAATGGGTACTTCTGCGACGCTGAACTTAAGAGTAAATGTTTATAAATTGCTTTCGAATACGTGAATTGAATTATTAAGTCAGTTGGTGGCTATTTAGCTTCTAAATCTTGACTTTTCCGATGTCATGTTGCGATATGGTCTTCTTCAGTTTCGAAATAGTTGTAAAGATCACCTTGCAGAAGATTATAAATATAATGCGTAGTTTAAGACAGCTGATATCATGAATATTTGAAGCATATTCTGCAAATCATTGCGCAATGAAACGTGTTGTAGAAGGAAAAGGTTTTTAGAAGGAAAAGGTTTCGCATATTATCCCTAGATGTAGAATTGAAATGCAAATATAAAGGTAAAGTGCTTTGTCTTTATCTTTTATAAATTCCGCGAATTTTATACCAGAAGGTAAGAGTACGCAGAATTTGTGACTTTAATTTGTAGTAGAAGTTTTAATGATTTATG